ACGAGTGTTATCTAATTTTGTGTCTAGCGGCTTGATAGTTTTCCTTGTCGGACACTAGACGGAAGAAAGTAAATCTGACCAGAGGCACTCCAATATCGAGATTTATTTCCGGCAGGGTATGTATGCACATTAGGGTGGTCCAAAATAAGTAAATTCGGGATTTTAATGCTCTCACCCCCTACGGTTGTTCTATATTGAAAAGAAGTATACCCCTATTTTTAATTTCGAAATCAAGCGCTAAAAGTTTTTCATGTATTTTATAAAGAAAAAATTAATTTTCAAGCAATAAATAAACCCGACTTCAACTCTCTTATAAAAATTTAGGATTATTGTTCATTTCTTCACGATCCAGTTATACAAAATTAGTATGAGACCAACTTTCCGATGAAAAAAGAATTATCGAAATCGGTTAACGTGGTACAAAGTTATGCGGTAACATACATAAAAAAAATATTCCGAGAACTGATAGCCTTCTCCTCTTTGTGAAGTAAGTTAAAAAACAACTTTTCGTAGAAATAGTATAGAATTATTGAAAATCAATATTTTTCGAACAGAAAACTGTGGTTCTCTTCAGGAGACTTCCAATAAATATATACAATTGTTCCCAGTAGATAATTTAAGGAGTTAAAAGCCATTCGGAAAGGCCTTCCTAAGAGTCAAGAGGCCTTCCACTCTACATTCCTTCCTCCTTTATTCTGTGTATGGAGTGGCACAAATTGAAGGGCTTCTTCTTTCGCCACCCATGGAAGGCCCTCTAGAAGGGCTTTTATAGGACATACTTCAGAAGGCTCCTTTAATTTATAAAAATCATACATCTTTGAAGTATTTGCTAAAGATTTATATCAAATATGTGTAATTGCAAATTTAAATATTTATTGAAATTCATTTCTAATGCTAAATAATATAAATGTATGCATTAGCGTAAATTTTAAATGGATAATACCTTCTAGAAGGCATGCAAGGAAGCACTTTTTTCAGACCTTCTTGGGTAGGCCTCTTAGAATGGCTTTACTTAAGAAGGCCTACCTAAATTATCTTCTAGGTTTTTTAAAATTTTTTTTATTTATCCCCAATTGCATTTTCTGGGGTTTTGGCAGACCTATAAAGTATAGTTACTATGAAAAAATAGTTTAATAAATAATTGGGTATTGTTATTGGGATTCTCCTGAAGTCGCCTGGGTAAAAGATTGTCGTAAGCGCCATTTTGACGATTATTAGTTCTAGATGCTGTTATATATTTTGAGATAAGGTCTTTCGATTGGTGTTATCAGTTTTCAGATATCTTCTCTAGTTTCCGAGATATTGACTACAATTTTTTCGATAATTTAGTAAAAATTTAGTTAGTGATGCAGTCATATTAAACTAATCCATATCTTAGAAATGGTGTTCTCCATTTTTGTATATATCCTTTAGTTTCTGAGATATTGAGTAAATAAAGTCGTTAATTTAGTAGAAATTTTGATCACATTTTGTCGTATTTCATACAAAGTGGCTGCCAAATTATGGACAAATGGCGCTTAACGACAACATTTTACTTAAGAAAATCTTTCATAAACTCAAAACTATAAACATTAAAAATTAAATAATTTAAGAGATTTGTGAACTAGTAACATTTTCAGAGACTTTGGAGAAAATCTAACTTCGCGTTTTTGAGAAATCGTATTCCAAACTTCAATCGCGATTTCCCACAACCTACCGAAATTAACATACGACAATCTTTTACCCATGCGACGATATGTACATATATGTATGTATGTTGAATTGCGCCCAAAATAAGTGATAAAAATTTTTGGCAATAATATTTTCTGTTAACAAAATGTTCGGCAGCGTGTAAAATAGGTGTGTTAGTTGGAGCATTGGCCATCAATGGGCGGAAAAAAGCTTTTTATACAAATTTAGGTGCAAATGTATGTTTTTTTTTTTTTTTTTTTTTTTTTTTAT